CGGCCTCCCGGCATGCCGAGCGGCCGGATGTGCCGCCATCTTTAGGCCCCCTGCTTTCTCCGTTCCAGTATTGACAATAACAAGCTGCGGTCCTCGCCCGGCTGCCCTCCTTTCCCTCTCCGGGCCGTGAAAGAGGCGGGGGGCAAGCCAGCGAGAGCGGAAGAAGGGAGCTCGACCCCCTTCTCCCCGAGACCGGGCGAGAGAGAGAAGGGGGCGGCCCTAGGGCGAGAGAGACCGAGAGGACCCTTTCGCCCCTCTGCTCGCTGAGGAAGGGGCAGAGCTGCCGAGCGAGGCCTCCCAGAGTCGGGGGCGGGGTAGGGAAGAGGGACCCGCCCCGTTGGGACCGCCGGGGGTCCCTAACCGAGCGCGAGAGGGAAACTCACCCGAAAGGCGAAGGGGAGCCGGATAAGCGCTTCCCTCCCCCTCGCGAGAGGGAAGACGGGGAGGAAGGTGGAACCGGCGGGGAAGGAGGCATCGTCTGTCTCTTTGGACCCCGACCACGAGGCAGCGACCTTCCGTGACCAGCTCTGCGCCCGCCCCTCTCTGCGTGTCTGTCACACCAGGAGGATTTGATGCCCTTCAGCCTGCTCACCTCTGTGGTGTTCATGTTTCCCACAGGTTTCTCTTCCCCCAACCCCCCAGCAGCAGCAGCAGCAGCTCAGGAGGTCAGACCTGCCACGGATGGTAGCAGCAGCAGCTCCTCCTCTTCCTCCTCCACCAAGAAGAGAAAGCTAAATAGTAATAGCAACAGTAGTGAGAGAGAAGAAGTTGACTCCATCTCCTCCTGTTCGTCCCTTCTTTCTAGAAACAGCAGTTCGTCCTTGCCTGCTCTCATTATCACCGCCTCCACTGCCTCCTGTTCCTCCTCAGGGGTTGCTTCTTCCAACCATCACCTGCAGAAGAAGCTGCGTTTTGAGGACTCCTTGGATTTTATTGGACTTGATGTGAAGATGGCTGAAGAGTCTTCCTCTTCATCCTCGTCATCACCGGCTGCATCTTCTCAGCAGCAGCAGCACCAGCAGCTCAAAAACAAAAGCCTCTTAATCTCCTCAGTAGCTGTGGGACACCACGCAAATGGCCTGACCAAAGCTGCCTCCTCCACTGTCTCCAGTTTTGCAAACAGTAAACCTGGGTCAGCCAAGAAGTTAGTGATCAAGAACTTTAAAGGTAACCTGCTGCTGTCATTCGTAATCTCTTGCATCTATATCTGAAGGGAAACTGCAGGGTAAGGCACATTTTCACACTAGCCCCTGCCACAGGATTCATCCCTCTACAGCTTTATCCCCAAGGGTGGCAGGTGTTCTACCTGCATGCAGAAGGAGCTAGCTTTCTTATATGGGAGGAAGGCATATTCAGAGGTTTGAAGCTAGTTGTTGTTTGGGGCAGTGGACAGGATTCTTTCTCACCTGTATTCTAACCCTTCTGTTGGATAGTAGTCAGTGGGAACCATTGAGGTTGGAACTAGTCTCCCTTCATTTGTATAACCTTGATAGGATTTCTATTCTTTTCCTGCAGTTGGAACATATGGCAAAATCTTGAATTTTTAAAAGAGACAGAAGGATATATTTTTAAATATATACAGATATTAATGGCAACTTGAAGAAACTACTTTGCTTACTTAGGTGGACACTTCCCAAATGTTTTGAGAACAATTATGAAAGGCAAATGAATATTGTCTCATATCTGAGTTGTCCAACTCAGATATGAGAATCTGTGCAGTGGAGTTCTAGTTTGTATTAGAGCAGAGTAGTACAAAAATGAGAGACTACTTACTGTGTTTTTCTACAATCAGTTTGCTTTCCCACAGGACTATTATACTAGTTGTCGTCGTTGTTATTATTATTATTATTATTATTATGTGCCTTTGAGTCTGTTTTTGACTCATGGCAACTGCCTGGACAAGTCACTGTAGTTTTCTTGGCAAGATTTCAGAAGTAGTTTGTCATTGCCTCCTTCCTAGGGCTGAGAGAGAGTGACTGGCCCAAGATCACCCA